CTTGACGAATCCTCTCCGACCTTTGGATTGTTTATCTCTCATTGGTATCCTCAACATCTTGTTGAGGTTCAGTCTTTTGTAGAACACTATTGTCAACATGTGCATTTGTAGGTGTTTCTTGAATTTCTTGAAGTTCCACTCTATCCCCAGTGTTAGGCTTAGTCAGAAAATCGTTTTCTAAAAATTCAACCTTGCGAGCGACAAATATGTGATAACCGGGTCCTAAAGTCTGAACTCTGAAGTCTTCTTTTCCAGACTTACAAGTCTGAACTCTGAAGTCTTCTTCTTCAGAGTTATGCTTCAAAGTTGTACTTCAAAGTTAGTACAAGTCTGGGGTCATTCCTCAGAGTTTTACTTCAAAGTTAAGAAGTCTGAACTCTGAAGTCTTCTTTTTTAGACTTCTAAGTCTGAACTCTAAAGTCTTCTTCAGACTTAGAAGTTTGAACTCTTTAAGTCTTCTTCTTCCGACTTCTAAGCCTGAACTCTGAAGTCTTCTTCATACTTAGAAGTCTGAACTCTAAAGTTTTCTTTTCTAGACATACAAGTCTGAACTCTAAAGCCTTCTTCTTCAGAGTTATTCTTCAAAGTTATACTTCAGAGTTATACGTCAGAGTTAGTATAAGTATTGAGTCATTCTTCAGAGATTTACAACATAGTTAAGAAGTCTGAACTCTGAAGTCTTCTCCTTCAGAGTTATTCTTCATAGTTACACTTCAAAGTTATACATCAGAGTTTTTTGGAGTACAAGTATAGAGCTATTATTTAAAGTTATTCTTCAGAGTTATTTCAATAGTATAAGTCTGGAGTCATTCTTCATAGTATCACTTTAGTTTAGAAGAGTATACAAGTCCGAACTTTGAAGTCTTCTTTTTCTAGACTTCTAAGTTTGAACTGTGAAGTTTTCTTCTTCAGACTTTTTAGTTGGAACTCTGAAGTCTTCTTCTTCAGAGTTATTTTTCAGAGTTATTCATAAGATATATTTGAAGACTACAAGTCTGGAGCTATTCTTCAGAGTTATACTTCAGAGTTTTTTTAATAGTACCAGTCCGAAGTCATTCTTCAGAGTTTTACTTGAGAGTTATTTCAAGAGTTCAAGTCTGAAGATTCATTTGAGTTGACCAGTCTTCCACCCCGCTTCATTCATTCCCATTCCAAAAAGATAATCTCTATCCCAAATAGGTTGTTACAGGATCAACATCCTCTTGAAAAACGCGGGATTTACTTCTAAGTTTAAATTCAATTTACTGATATAGTTTCATTTCTAAATTCAAAATTTTATCCAATTTGTATAGTAATCCAGAAAAAAGCGGGATTTACTCTTAAGCTTGAATTCAAATCACTTTATTTTCTCGTCAAGCATCCCTTTAAATTAGGGCTGAATTTCGGGCCTGTTCATCACTCAGATTGGGAACAATTCTCAACATCAACAAACAGTAATCTAACATGAGTTGTTTATCTGCTGTAAGGTATAATATTTTTTGTACATTATGTAACTTCTCAATTACGATTAATTGATTAATCTTTTTTATATTAAGAATAATGGATGGGAAGAATATTACTCTCATTAAAGACCTTGATATATAAAAAGAAGATTTTACTGTGAAGGTTAGAATCATTCGATTATGGACTCAACCACCGTTCAAGAATCTCGAACAAATATATTCGATGAAGATTATATTAATGGATGAAGAGGTAAATAATTACCTGTATTCGAATCTTTACTATCGTATTCATCGTATTTTCTTATTACATCTGATTCATAATATTTTCATATTATTAGCTCTGAATGCTTTTCCATATTCATGTTTTTAGGGCACTAAAATCCAAACCAATGTTCTACAAAAATGGGTGCCGAAGTTTAAAATTTTTCTTCATGAAGGGGCTGCCATATTCATCAAAATTCCTACGATTGCTCGACATGGCTACAAATACAAGTTAATTGATAATATAAACAAGCTAAGTTTGTATTATAAAACTTCGGTTACTAGCTTCTTGGATTTTAGTGGTTCCCCATTTGGTTTTTCATTTGTCAAATTTCAAAATGTGATATCAAAGATGATTCCAGAACATACAATGTAACACCCCAAACTTCCACATATGCATATAACATGGATTTCATATAAAAGAAATGTAATTTACACCACAAAGGTCCCACTAATACAAGGATTTAATATATACATAATTTACAACTGAAAAATTCCCAAAATAATATCCTTGTACTATCACATGTATGTCAACATGTATCATCAAAATATAAAAGGCAACAGGTTGATCTTCAAAAGGAAGACAAACACATAAGAAAACTAATCATATTTCCCCCTTCCTCTTAATATCCCGAGACCCTGCTGATCCTGCAATGCACATTTTCATAATACAAAATGAGGGTTAGACTGGAAGGTCTAGTGAGAAAATCCCTTTTTTGCAATTACAGGGTGAATACCACCAAATCCTGTTTAAAACATCTTTTGCAAATAGATAATTAAATTTTAGCAAAAGGAGGCAAATCTACTTGTTACTCAAATTGTAAAACAAACATATTCTCATAACACATAAACACATTCCCTAAAATTTGCATATCTTTACGAAACACAAAGTCATAAAATTCCTCTAGCTTAACGGCCCAGAGCTCATTTGGCTCAACGGGCCAGAACTCCTATGTTTCTTAAGAACCAGAGCTTCCTCTGGCTCTTAAAGAACAAAGCTCTTTTCTTAAACCAGTCTCTCTAATTGATCAGAGCTTCTGCTTTCATCAACCAGAACTTACTCATCCCAAATAAAATGAGTCTAAATTCAACCAGAGCCTCTCTGGACGACCAGAGCCTCTCTAGTCCAAAAAGACAAACATTTGATTTTTTAAATAAAAGTATAATAAAACTATTATCTAGAGCTCATCTGGTTCTTTATCTCATTAATAAGAGATTTAAAAGAATTTGACTTATAAAATATTTAGTTTTAAAAGACAGAGCTCAGATACATAGCTAGGACACAAAGCTCAAACACAATGCTTGGACATAGAATATTTCCAGACACAAAACCTCTGTATAGTACATACAAAGCCTCTGGGTCACAAAATTCTCAAAAATTCTTGAAAGGTTCTCCATAAAACTAGAGGTCCTCTGGTCCATCTTGAACACTAACCAGAGCTTCTCTGTGTCTTCTCAAATATCAAATTTCCTCAAAATCATTTGAAATCATGGGCAATTAATGCTTATGGTTATAAATCGTTTTCCTCTTCTCAACAACATCAATGTTATTATTTCAATAAGAGCAATATGTCCAAGTCATCAAGTCACAGAGAAATGTTGATTTAGAATTATCGCGTCTTATGGTGATAATAACAAGAGTTATAATATTAATTACACCTACAATTGCCACTCTTATATTCATAGGTACACTTCTTCTTGATATACCACCCTTATTCCCACCTCAAAACATGGTTTCATACCAGAACAGACTTATGTCACACATGTTCTGGAGAAATCTAGTTCCATAGCAGAACAGACTTACGTCACACATGTTATGCCAGAATAGACTTACGCCACACACGTCTTGGAGAAACATTTAAAACATAGTTTCATGCCAGAACAGACTTACGTCACACACGTCATGGAGAAACATTTCTCAAATCAATATTTTTTTCAAAATAGACTTATGTCACACACGTATTGAAAGAAATATCGGTTTCTTTTTCCAGTTCACAATTCTTATTTAAAGGATACAAAATGTCCTTTTTACAGTATAAAATAGTTTAAAACTGATTAAAAAAATATTTGTGAAATATCATCATTAAATAACATAAATTTTAGGCCAATTTCTCTTCATCAGTCAACTCTTATCCAAACATCATTATCCGGACAACTCTTAACCGGACATACCCTTATCGAACACCAAGTGTACGGACACACCCTCATCAGACACAAGTGTCCGGACACAATTGTTCACCGGCCAACACTTAGCTTTTCAAACATTATATTTAAATGATATTATGAACAATGAGTAATTAATAGAGACAACATTATGTTCGGTAAGGTGTCCTTATCAGACAAAGCTATGTCTGATAAGAGACCTTATCGATCATCACTCTACAATCACCAACCTCTTCACCGGCCATGATTTAGCTGGTGAGAAGCCCTCATCGGACACCATTATGACCGAGTACAATCCTTTATCGGACAATCAAGATCATCAAGAACATAAATCCAGATCATAACATAGCAGATTCTTAAGCCATATAAACCAGTAATAAAATGGATTCGAAGGTTGTTGTGTATAATAAAACTCACCTTACGCAGATTTTGAAATTGAAGAAAAAATATGCACATATATTGCTTTCCAAGTTAACTTCTATTTTTGGCAAGAATCCACACAACCTTTACTCTCAGTTTCCAAATTTGGTAGCCAGAAAACTTTTCCTCAATTCCTCCCTTTATACCTACCTTTTAAGGAAGGCGGTTTGGGAATATTTATGAAACTCTTTTTCCCTTCACGACTTCATGCATACACATGCATGATATATATATATATATATA